GCATCGGGCAGGTAGTTGACATTTAGCCCCGCTTCAGACTAGCAGAGCTAAATGTAGATTGGGGGAGTCGGTGCTCAATTTGTTCAAATGATCTCAGAACACTTCTAGAAAATGAGCAGCCATCTTGTCGTCCCCCCTGCTGTGGTTTTCAGGGTCCCCCGCTCTTCTAGGGGACCCGGGACCACGACAATCATTTCAGGATGGAGAGTGGGGAGCAGAGCAGTTATCTCAGCTGTCACAGGCTGCACAGAATCGAGCAGAAATGCAGTTGCTCGATGTTGTGTTGGGGGGGCAGGTTTCTTAAGGAGAATCTGTCACGTCCAAAATACTGTCACATAGGGGCTTGTTATTCCCTGTGTGATAGTAATAAAGTTAAGTGGGAAAAAAAACTTTAAAAGTAAAATTACATTTAAAAAGATAATAAAACAGTAATAAATGAAAACCAACCCAGCCCCCACCCCCCATCTGCATGCTAATAAGCAGCGCTCTCTAACACGCACAATGTGCATTAAATGGTAAGTTCACTTTCCCAAGTAATTTCGGAAAATGTAATTACCCACTCAAATCTGGGATTGGTTTTTCAATCGACTTTTGTCAAGCTGGGTGGTGCCGACAGAGCCACCCACAACGTGAATTCAGCTGATTCAGCAGAAATTGAACAAAATTCGAGCCATGTATGGCTACTATTTAATCTTTTTACTCACATAAAGTATGACCAGTAATACCAACTGAGACAGACCAGAGAAGGCAGCCTTTCAACAACTGAAGACAACTGATCAGCGTCTGGCATATCCATTTTTATTCCCTATACCTGCCTTTCTCAACCTTTTTACCCTAGAGGAACCTTTGCAACTGTTTTCAGGTCTTGTAGAACTCCTGCTAAAATGAATGGCATTGGTCCTGGAACTATGTAGGCACCATCAGATGGGAGGTCAATCAGCCAAAGCTTGATGAACCCTAGTACCATGTATGGCCTTCTTTAGGAGGGAGTGGGGCATACTTTACAGTTCCCCATGTCTTCCACACATTGGGGCTCCGTTCACATTTTAGCGGTTAATACGCGTGCAAACGCGCTAAACATTAAAAAAAAAATACATTCAAATGTATGTTGTTCACACTTGCGTGACGTCCGCGTGGTACAAATACACAAACGCCATGTGTGAGTGGAGCCTTAAGGGACCCCAGACATATATTTGCAAAGTAGGAGTGGGTGCAAGTTTTGTAATCCTCTGTGTTGGAGCACCTAGTGCAAGATGGAGCACTGCGCTGTAGGCTAGGGATGCAGAAGTGAACAGAGCTTTGCATCAGGGAGAAGGCTGCTGGATAAGAGATGCAGATCTGCCTTCAGTCTGACATGTGTCACCCTGCTGGAACATCTGACATAAGTATGTGAAAGTGTCTGTGTGAAGTGTATTTGGAGTGCATAGTAGGTTGTACTGAATGTTCTAGGGTGCATGGTGGGAAGTGTTGAGTGTACATCCTGACTTTCTCTACAGCAAGGATAGGCAACCTTGGCACTGTGGTGAAACGACAAGGGAGTTATGCCTTTGGCTCTTGTGGAGATGCAAGTCCCATAAGGCAATGCAAGACTCCAACAGTTGTAGTGCCAAGGTTGCCTACCCCTGATCTACAGCCTCAGAAGACCCTCTAAGATACTTTATGCATGAATACAGAATTTATCTTCCCAGGTTGACTCCTATGTGTTATTCTGCTGATTACTGGAGGTGCTATACTGCGGTTTTGGGAGGGTTGTTGCTTCTGGTATGTAGAGACACCCTTGCCATACAAACAATATTTTAAAAGTGCTGCTTTAATTTTGGTTAAGTTGCCTATTTTGTCTTAAACCAGCCCTTATACTTTCCTATGGAACTTGTATATTGCTCACTTGGACAGGTTTTTAGGAAAAACGTGTGCAAACTTAATGGCATAATATGCAGAAGATAAAAAGCATTGAATTCTGACTGCAAGGGCACAGCACAGCAATCCTGTCTTGCTGCCTCCCACTCTTGGAAAATGCTAAGTTTCATATTAACCCACAGTTAGTGTGCTTTGTGTATTTAGGAATATGCTGCAGTGTGGCATTAGCTTAGAGCAGAACACCAGCAATTAAATATATAAAAGTGGAAGTCAAAGCAATACAATCAAGACATAGTCAAGTAGAGAAATCTCTTGTATGAACAATAAAAAAACAAAGCAAACAAAAACCTAAAGCCAGGTACTGGGGATGCACCCATACTGGTTTTTCTGTATCGGGTATGAGTACCGAATTTTTCCCCCGAATAGAATATCAATCCCGGAAGTCCCACCAGGTGATGAGGGAGCATGGAAGTGCCTTTCTGGCCAATCAGGAAACTGGGTAATGACTTGCTGCCTGGCTTCCTGATTGGCCAGCTACCCGACCAATCAGGAAGCCGGGCAGCGTGTAATGACTAGCTGCCCTGCTTCCTGATACCGGAAGTTCCGGTATCGGGCTAGGCATCCGGAGCATTTGAGCGAGTACGAGTACTTTCCCAAATACTCGGTATTGGCACTGATATTAGTATCGGTGCATCCCTACTGGGTACAAATGTCGACTTGTGGCCGGTTCCTGATGAAGTGCCCGAAATTTGCACAGTGGGTGCCGCTGTTGGCACCCTTCCAGCCAGCATCCCTTGATCAGCTGATTGAAGGAGCTGGCTGGATAATTCACGGCCGAACAGACCTAGCAGCCAATCAGCTGCAGGCTCTGTTTGGGATCCTGACCGAAGCTGGCGGCTGCTGTCAGAATACAGTAGAAACAATGGGAGATTCCTTGATCAACACTTGTAAGCATTGATATAGGAATCTGTTATATTTATACGTTCAGCTCACAGGTTGAATGAAGAATATATACATGTATACCCAACTTAACTTTTATACATTATACATTTTTTAAATATATATATATATATATACACACACACACTATATTACTATTTTTTTTTCTTATCCTTTTTTTTTTAGCATGTTCCCGGTGTTTTTTCATGGCTTTTCATTGAGCCAAATAGTAAAAAGCTTCAAAAACATGTGAGAATGCACATATAAATGCTCAAAAACACTTTTTAAAAATGCCAACGCCTTAACAGGGTTTTTATTTCCAGTTATTCCCTGTACAGTCTTTGTGATAAAACATAACAGTCTCACAATTGTATTATCGTATCTCTGTCATACTGTTTTTTGTGTCTTAATTGTGTCATGGCATAAGTTGACATATAACTCTGTTATGTCTGAACAAATACAAATGTATTTACCAAAAATATTGCGCGGTTAGTGAACAAACAGCCTGAAAGCTTAATTTTCATTACCACAGTCCTCTACACATCAGAAGTCAGACAGAGTGGGAAGTAATACACCACAGGTAGCATTACCGCAGGGATCTGTTGCGTTGCACGATATTGCCATGGTGACATGTTTTCAGGCACTAGGAGATGGATATGGAAGTGTTTAAGTAGCTTACGGGAGGAGAAGCGCACCGAAGCACTGTCATTTATTCATAGTCCAGTGAACAGGCAGGTAACATGTTAGTAAACAGTTTTTTCAACTTAAAGTGACACTTAATTCACATGTACATCTTAAAAATGCATTCAAGTTCCTTAACTGTTAACAACACTGAACTTTATTTGTGTATCACTCAGCTGGAGATCCTCAAATCATCTCTGAATTCATACTGACGCTGTCCTTCCTTCTGGAGGGTGGCTACTTTTGTTTCCCATGGTCCCTGTGTGTGTTGTAAAGTAGTCACCACTCCAAGCTCACTTCCGTGATGGACTACAATCTCATGTTTAGGTTACTCATTTGATTGAGATTGTGCACGCATGGTGGAGAACTCTGCTTGAATGCTGGACCTTACTAAATGGAACAAACTCCAACAATTCCTGGTATTGTCAGTGCTTGCCTGCTTACTCTCGCCTCCCCCTGGCCATACACTCCTATTGGCCCATCACTATGATGGGCTCCCTCAGTGGCCAATAAGAATGTGTGGGAGGGAGTGGGCAAGTTTCAATATTCCAAGAACTACTGAATCTTTGCCCCATCAACAACAACATAATTTGGACTGAATAGGTCAGGGTAGTGAGAATAATTAAAAGCTGCTGCAGATGTTTTCTTTGAGTCACTTTGAATAACTTTAGGTACCTGTTCTCATAAATGTATCAGTGTATGATATGGCCGACCTTTATGCTCTGACAGCTGTATGTTATGTTTTCATAGTTGTAGTATGTAATTGTTTGGATTGGACTTCCATCTCATTCCATACAGTCAAAGTCCATGTCCGGTATCTAAAATGTTCCTGGCATTGTATATGTAAATGTTTGTATATGGAATAATTGATAGAAATATGGGACCTTTTTTCTGTGATACTTACGGCTTGGGCTTTCAACATGTGGGGTCATTTCCATAATGTCAAACATTTCTGAGGCTCAAGTATCTGCTTTCATTCTTTTAACTGAACGAAGATGGCTAATTTGGGTAACAGCATCATGCATCTACCTCTAGGAGTGATGCCTGTGGCTGTCAGAGTCTTGCAGTGCCTCCTGGGACTAGTAGTCTCACCACCACTGGATGGAGGACCAACGTTTGCCTATCCCTTGTGTAGGGATTGAGTAACACTTTTTGTCATTTTGTTCTTATAATCCTGGATTGTCATTGGGGGTTGATAATTACAACTAACATTTGGGCTTTTACCCATAGCAACCTTTATATGTCCACTTTTTCAAACCTGGAATACTGAGATGTGGAATCTGATTGGCTACCAACTATATCCCTGCCTTCTGTTCACCAGAATATATAGTAGATATTTGTTGTGAATTATCAGCAGTCTGAGTACTGACATGTCATATATTTGGCATCAATTTTGTTTTTCTATTTATATAATATATATTATAAAGCAAATACGTGTTCTTATTGGAAAAAAAAATCTATATGTATGCACAGCATATAGCCACAGCAGTATCTTGGTTTCATCCTGCCTGTTGTCTCCTCAGAACTTCCAGTGGGCCCGAGACGTGTTGCTAGGCAGCAGTATCCCGTGGCAGCAACTGGAGCACATGCCAGCACAGGGACTCTTCTGCGAGAGGAACAAGACCAATTTCTTCAATGTAAGTTGTGTTCTGTCTATAATATGCTGGTCAGAATAAAAATGGGTTTTCTGTGCGCTCTGTTCAAAGAGTTAACTGGACACATGAGTCATCCTCTGTTTTTGTTTTTGCAGAACAGAGCTCAGGTTAGCTGAGTTGTAAGTTAATGGAATAAAGGTCTGTTATATAAAAGCTGGAGGGAAGGAATTGGTAGTTGCAGGCCAAAACGAACCAGTCAGATGCATCTTTTCATTTTCTAATGCATGCTGCAAAATGACAGGCTGGATCTGATTAGAGCCATGGGCAATATTTCTTATGCTCGAGTTGTTGTAATCACAAGTTCTCTTACTAATTAAAGGAAACTCGTCATTATATTAAAGTTCCCAAGGTAATAACCAGACTGAAAAGCTGGCCCCTAGAGATGGCTGGACAAATCCTTACTTTCCAGAGATACCCAAAACCTGGGCCACTGAAGCATGCACATGTGGGCTTCAAAGACGATGGTTGTCCTTCTGGAACTTTGTCCCATCTCCACACAGGATCTCTGGAGCTCAGTCAGAGTAACCATTGGTTTCTTGGTCACCTCTCTTACTAAGACCCTTCTCCCCCGATTGCTCAGTTTGGTGGGGCGACCAGCTCTTGGAAGAGTCCTGGCTGTGCCAAACTTCTTCCATTTGACAATTATGGAGTCCACTGTACTCTTGGGAACCTTCAGTGCAGCAGAGATTTTTTGTAGCCTTCCCCAGATCTGTGCCTTGCAATAATCCTGTCTCTGAGCTCTGCAGGCAGTTCCTTGACCTCATGGCTTTTGCTCTGATACCGTATGCATTGTCAGCTGTGAGGCTTTCTATAGAGAGGTGCGTGTATTTCCAAATCATGTCCAATCAATTTAATGTACCACATGTGGACTCCAATCAAGGTGTAGAAACATCTCAGCAATGATCAAGAGAAATGCAAGGCACCTGAGCTAAATTTCAAGTGTTGTTACAAAGGGTCTGAATACTTATGCCTAGGGATGCACCAATACCGGTTTTTCGGTATCGAGTACTGATATTTTTTTTCCGATACTCGCTGATACCGAATACCGATACCGGATGTCCCATTAGGGAAGCCGAGTGGTGTGTAAAGTCTCGCCACTCGACTTCCCGATTAGCAGGGAAGCCGTCTCCATGCTTCCTCGTCACCAGGTGAAGAGGGAGCGTGGAGCCGGCTTTCTGGCCAATCCGGAACCCGGGGGGCAGGTGGCGACTCGCTGCTTGCAGGAAGCCGGGCAGCGAGTCATTACACGGCACCTGGCTTCCTGATTGGCCAGGAAGCTGGCTCCATGCTCGTCCCCAAGTGACTAGTATTGGTGCATCCCTACTCATGCAATATTTTAGTTTTTCATTTTTCATATATTTGCAAACTTTTCTAAAATTCTGTTTTCACTTTGTGAGTACTGAGTGAAGATTAATGAGAGAGGAAAAAAAGAATTTAAACAACTGTACTGTCATGCTGCAACAGAACAAAATTGAAAAAAGTGAAGGGAGTCTGAACACTGTCATTCACACAGATTTAGAAGCAATGCAAGTGCAGAATTTGCATACAAATATGTGAAGAACCTTTTTGTTTTTGTTTTTTGCCACCTGGAGCTTTAGGCTTTTACCTTCGTGCATGAATGTATACACGTGTTTACATTCGTGAGTGCATAGAATATGTGCGATTTGCAGCCCCGGACGCATCTCTGTATAATTTTTTTTGTGCGCAGTGGAAAAACACAGCCCCATACGCAGCTGTGTTTATGAGGCGGTGTATTTGCATGTGCTGCATACAGAAATAAATGCTGTGCACATCTGTACCCAGGGTTTCTTTTTTTTCTACGGCCGTGTGAATGAGGCCTTATAGTATTTACCCTAATGTAATGTTGCACTGTAACATTCTTAGCTTTGTTTGCTTGCTGAATCCGCTTACCATTATTGTATCATATATACTAACGTATAGATTCTCCCTCTAGTGGCTGTGTGTATATCACGGTGATCGTACCTTTCAACTAATAAACAAAAATATCCACATGGAGAGGCATTTTTAATCCAGTTAGATCTGATTGGTAGTCTAAAGGTGCCCATACACTGCTCGATTCTCGTACGAGAATCGCGGGAAATCCCGCAATCGTACGAGAATCGAGCAGTGTGAACGAAGACATGCGACCGTTTCTACTGTACGGTCGCACGTCTTTTGTCTAAGGAGCACGCTAGAAAACCAGCCGAAAATCGTAGGATTTTCGGCTGGTTTGAACGGTGCTCGGGAGACAAATGCCGAACGGGTCGGTGTGCGCACGCGCACACTGCCCGTTCAGCATTGCGGTCATCGGAAGCCCGCCCCTCAGGGGGCATAAGTATTCCTAGGCATAAGTATTCAGACCCTTTGCAACAACACTTGAAATTTAGCTCAGGTGCCTCGCATTTCTCTTGATCATTGCTGAGATGTTTCTACACCTTGATTGGAGTCCACATTAAATTGATTGGACATGATTTGGAAAGACACGCACCTCTCTATACCCCCCTCAGGGGGCGGGCTTGCGATGATCGCAAGTACGATCTGCCTGTCCAAGATGGGCAGATCGTACGTTTTTTTAATTACTTTACAACCATCGCAAGACTAATGTCTTGCGATGGTTGTAAAGTGTATGGCCACCTTAACAGTGTGAAACAAACAGTGTGTATCACAGTATGATTGTGTAGGAAGAAGATCCTGCATACATGACAAGTAAATATGACCTCCATGTACATACGGTATACATTTACACATGGGGCACAGAAACAAGGTTATCCTTGCTTTAGATTCATTAAATGTTAATACTAAAGCTTTGTTTAATAATAAAATTGGAATATACAGATGTAGACAGATTTGTTGGTACCTTTACTGCTCATTGAAACAATGCATCATACCTACTGAAAAGTGATGGGGTTAAAAGCAATTGTCTCATATATACCTGCATGCCTTTGGTATGTCAGAGTAAAGAAAAGCAAGTGTGAAAAGAGATTCATTATTACGTATTCTACAAATATATTCTAAAATGGCCTGGACAGATTTGTTGGTGCCCCTTAAAAAAGATAATAAATAATTGAATCATAGTGATATTACAAACTACTGTCTCTGTTGTCTGTAATCCGTATCACATGTCTTCAGTCAGTCAGCCTCTCATGTGCACCACACTGAACATTGACCAGAGAAGGCAAAGGAGAGAGTAGGCTGAGATGATCAGAAATTATATAAGGCTATAAGACCATCTCCATGCAGCTTGATGTTCCTGTGTCTACGTTGAAAAATATTAATGTTTTTTAGTAAGGTCCATGGGAGTGTAGCCATACTCCCTGGGCATGGCCACAAGAGAAAAATTGACCCCTGATTGAACAGAAGGATGGTTTGAATGGTAGAAAAAGAGTTAAGTAAAACGTCTAAAGAGTTACAAACTGAAGTCCAAAGTCAAAGTACATCAGTGTCCAATCACACCATTCAGGCGAATACAGTATCAACAGCACTCCAAATAAATGCAAAACAAAATACTAGGTTAAGAGTACCAACATTTTTGTCCATGTCATTTTAATTTGTTTTAGTATCTAAAATATTCTGAAGAATCAAAAATCAAAGCGAAATTTGATTTTTTTTTTAAATTAAATATGTAATAAACAAAGATGGATGCCCAGTTTCAAGTCATTTCAAAGAAAATTGTGGATTCTTAATTTTTTTGTGGAGGTGTACCAACAAACATGTCCACTTCTGTATCCTGTAATGTTAATTCTGAATAACGTTTTTCAGAAAGTGAATGAAATGTAAGAGAAGATGTTGTGAGCCAGGTGAGAATGTATGGAAATGTTTTATATATGTTTGCTTGGGATTTAGGGCTTGTTAACATGTAGATCAGAGAATGCACTTCAGGGGGAAATGGATTGAGATTGAGATGTGTTTAAAGTAAACCCATAACAAACCAGAGTACTTGAAACTGATCATATGATAGAAAAATGAATAGACAGAGGCTACCCCCGGGCCTGTTTGCACCTATGGGTTGTGGTAATGTTACCACAACACACTTTAACACATGGACATGCAGTATGTGCATTGTGTTGTGTGCCATTTTGAATAGCAACCCAATACACATATACAGTAGTTGGTAAAGTTTATAAACCCTAAAAATTAACTGTTATTTGCGCTCTTTTGTTCTTGGATGCATTTTGTTATAGCTCTTCAATATGCACAAAAACCTATTGATCACGCCAGAAATTCAGAACTGTCCTGTGTCCAGTGTTCACTTCCTGTGTTAGCTCAAGGAGAGCAGTTAGCCCCCTCCAATCCTTATCTTGGTGCTGGGTGCACATGGTACGAATTTCGGACGTTCCATGATGAACTGGCCAAAATTTGCACAGTGGGTGCCGCTGTCGGCACCCTTCCGCCCGGCATCCTTCGATCAGCTGATTGAAGGAGCAGGGCAGAAAATTCTTGGCTGAACAGAGCTAGCAGCCAATCTGGCAGCAGATTACAATACAATGCAGACAGCATGGGATTTGGGTAGCCCATGGGTTGAACAAAAAAATAGACACGTGTATTCCCGACTTTAGGAGCGGAGTGCATTTTCTGGCAGATTAACTGGTATTTTTGTTCTTTGAAGGGATGGGATAAAAATGGAGAGATGTCCATATATTGCAGAGATGTAGTTCATATTTTTATTTGTTTTGCCCAGACATACACTTTAATATACCACATGGCTGTGTTTCTGTATTAGAAAACAATGCTAAATGTGCATTTTTAGATGCGCTGCAGTGCGTTGACATCCCATTCCTGTTCAGGCTACCTTAGAGCAAAGCATGTTAACACCTTTAACAACAATGTGAATCGGCTCTCAGCGATGACTACATGTCATAACTATTGGCAGAGATAAACCAGATTAACTTAGTCTTTACCCTCCTGGAGCAGTCCATCTTGGCCACTCTTCTCCCTGCCTCTTGATACTCCCTATTGGTCAGTGAAGATGCACATCACGTTAC